AATGGCAGGACTGGAAGTAAAATGGAGAAAGAGCGGTAGTATTTTGCTTATAAAATTTCTTTGTGAAAGTATCTATTTTGCTATAAACGAGGACAATAACTCTGGAGGCAAGGCGGAAGCCTCACTATTCATTTAGCCAAACAAAGAGCCTTCTTCCATTTGCCCTAAGACCTCAAGGGCCATGGGTCACAGTAAGATCTCCCATCTCCAGGGCTTAATTACTGAGTGGCATTCCTTTTTACAGGAACCTCCAGAATGCCCTGAATACTGGCATCCCCCAAAGAGTCCCATAAAGCCTAAAGATACTATCTTGAAACTGCTAAGTTCTTGAAAGTGAGGTTCATAAACTGAAGAGTGACAGCACAAACTGCTTGGAACTGGTGCATCTGCTGTAATGTTCTCACAGTATTCCAAACAGGGAGCCTCAAAATAACTCTGGAGTAGAATGTCAGCGCTGAGGGACCACACAGTAATCCTGCTCTAAGAACAGACATTTTACAGAAGGTATCCAGAAAGGTAGGCATTTAAATGTATTTGAATGCGTTCCTGGCCAGATGTAAAATCACTCATTACAAGCAAGCAAAAATATAACAATAAATTAGAAATTAAAAGCTAAAAGCCTAGACTCTATGGTTCATTTAGTAACAATGGCCTGACAGTACAGTTCCCAATTTGCCATCTTCCCTGAGATATTGTTCACAGTTCTCAATTCTAAGTGGAGGAAAATATCACATAGCTTAAACAAAACAAAGGATGTACCCACCACACAAGTAACCAGCCCTGGAGTGGAAGGCTCTGACCTTTAAAGAACCCGGGTGCCTGGAGTGTGGTCAGGGCCTGAGTCCCCTGGCTCTGCTCTCTCCACATGCTGCACTCCTCAGAGTAGCTCTCCCACTGAGCCAGGATGGCGACCACGTGGCAGGCCACACACAAGCAGCTATCCAGAAAGAAGAGGCAGTTCTTCCTTGCTAGCACTACAGGAAAGTGCCAGATGGAATGCCAGCTGACCCGGCTGCTCACATGCCCATCCCTTGAACTAACACTATCTCCAAGATGATGCTTTAGGCTTCTACAGAGGGGTTGATGGGGCACAGTGACTGACTGCTCCCACCAAAGAGCTGCCTTCGGGCACATGCACACAGCAAAGAGCGAATGTGGGCTCTGCAAAAGAAACAAGACAGAAGGAAAACCATTCTGGACAATAACTAGCTGCCACAGCCCATCGTACTAAGTTTTTCAACTTTTCATCATTACAAAGTAAGCCTCCCTTTAAATTAAAGCTTACATTTTACTTTTGTACAGAGGGCAAATAAAGAGAGAAAAGAGGAGCTGGATGGAAACTGGGGAGGAACAATGTCTCTTCCCACACCCCTGCATACAGCCCTTACCCTCAAAGTGATGTCTGAGGGAGCTCCCACAACCCCTGGAGTTCTGAGGAACAGTCTGAAAACCAGGGCTCTAATTTAGATGTTTTTGGGGAAAACTGCACTGATGTTTCAAACCACACCTTAGAAAGGAGTGTACCATTTTTCTATCTAAAACAGTCATTATTTAATCCTTATTTTCAACTGAAAAGAGGAATTTCAACTGAAATTGAACAGTCCCACTCCTGGGCATATATCTGGAGAGAACTCTTAATTCGAAAAGATACATGCACCCCCAATGTTCACAGCAGCACTATTCACAACAGCCAAGACACGGAAGCAACCTAAAGTCCATCACAACAGATGACTGGATAAAGAAGCTGCGGTATATTTATACAATGGAATACAATTCAACGATAAAAAGAATAGCAATGCCATCTGCAGCGACATGTATGGACCTGGAGATCGTCATTTTTAGTGAAGTAAGCCAGAAAGAGATAGAAAAATACCATATGAGACCACTCATATGTGGAATCTAATAAAATTCAAAAAAAGAGGACTCTATGAATTCATCTACAGAAGGAACAGACTCGCAGACACAGTAAACAATCTTACAGTTACTGGGGAAAATGGGTGGGAAAGGATAAATTTGGGAGCTTGAGATCTGTACATGTTAACCACTATATATAAAAATAGATTTAAAAAAAGATTTCTGTATAGCACAGGGAACCATGATCAATATCTTGTGATAACCTTTAATGAAAAAGAATATGAAAATGAATATATGCATATATACACACACGTGCATGCACACACACACACGCGTATACATATATACACACACAAACATGACTGGGACATTATGCTGTATACACCAGAAATCGATACATTATAATTGATCACACTTAAATTAAAATTTTTTTAAATGTTTTAATTTTTAAAAAGAAATTAAATAGTTAAAACCTTTAATCCTGTTATTAGATGCTTAAAACCCACCATGTTTTGGCTTTAACGAGGACACATTCTTATTTACTGTAGTGCATGTGTATATAAAGATCTTAGAAATCCAGTCTCCAGGGGATGACTGCCAATTGGTTTAATTTTCAAAATCAGTATCAATGCTCAGAACTACTACAACCTTCAATCTTTCAGAAAATTCTAGCGGTAGAGTAATTCTACACAACACTTAATTCTATTTTGAGATTGCTTTTATAGAAAAACTTTTTTTATAAGTCGTACCTTATGCAGTAAGCTTGAAAAAAACATTTTAATGATTAGATTAGCTAATTCTTCCAAATATCCTCCCTCATTAAAACAACTTGCTACTGAAAAAAGTTGTCAAAAATCACCACTTCGAGTACCAGAAATGACAGGGTCCAGCTTACACATCAATCTATGAGTACCAGGGACAGTTTAAAGTTTTATTATGTGACATTCTGTGTTGCTAAAGGTATAGTTTCTTTTTAAGCAAATATAACTGAGAAATACATCTGTGCATAACTACAACAATGTTAGAGCCAAAAAAAGATACACTTGATCACAAATCATAAATACAATAGCAGAGAAAGTTCAGAGTTTACCTTTAAGACAGTGCTGTCACTACAGATCTGCCTGGTGGTCACATAACAGTATGTGCACTAATGAAAGCATCTTCAGCGTGGCCCTAACACTTTACTCATTAAAATCTGTTTGCCTTTCTCTTCAGTCCCTCAGGTCACAGCTATATGACACCTGGATAATTGGAGCGTCTGTGCCACTATAATGTTTTAAAGCTTGCTTCTGTGTGTTTTTGTTTCTGTATCATGTTCAAGAGGAAGAAAAAGTAGCAAAGGAGAGAGAGAAAGGTGGACAAAGATGGATGTGCAGAAAAAAACAGAATGAGACGGAAAAGCCCAATAAAGAGGCAAAGCAAGAGGAAAAACAAAAATAAAGAATCACATTTTCTAAGACCCTGAGTATGAACACGTATGTCAACTACAGGAGTGTCCAGAGTCGCTAAGAGGTTACATTCTGACCACAAACATGTGATTTCAAGGAGAAACAAAGAAATATTTAAAGAAACTAACATGGCCAAGCAGGTATTTTTCTGATAAGCTCAAAGTGTTCAAAAGACAAAGATGTCATGCGTATAAAAGAATGGCATGAATTTCTAAAATTAGTATCAGGAAACAGTCTCAGAATAAAACAAGGTTTGTGAAAAATAAAGTTGCATTTAGTTACACTATATTGTTAACAATTACAGAAAGCATACATAACCCTACAAATACTTTCTAGGTCAAAGAAAATAATCATCAGAATACATACAGAAAACTAAACATTGGAAAAGGAAAACTAAAATCCAAAGATTGGTATAGATGGTGAAGTAGTGAATCTTAGATACTTTAAATAAACTGCAGTCTCCTAATTTGTAAGAATTGCAATGCAGGAACTTGTGGAAGAGCTCATCTTTAAGAAGAGGAAGACCTGCCTTCACCTTTTAGGAGAGGTAACAAACTCGAGGGCTTCCGGGAGCTGGCAGTGGCCTGCTTCTTGACCTCAGTGGTGATCACACAGGTGCTTATTTTACAGTTGGCTGAACTGTACACCTGCTTTATGCACTTTTTTATGTGCTGTATTTCACACACAAAAACATAAAGTAAAAAATCTAAGAGGTACTGGATGACTGGGGAAGGCCAAATGCTGTCTCACCTTGCAAAATCTAAAGATATATTTAATATGAATCCTTAGCAAGAGTTTTACAAACTAATAGTTTGTATAAGCTAATGAAGCTGTCATGGGAGTTCATACACTACAAGGCCATGAAACCCTCTTTTTCAACAGTGTTCCCTGTCAAAACCGTAGCTTGTAAGAACAGTGAGGTGTCTACTCATACCAGTGAAGCCTCCATGAAAGGGAGTGTGGGAGGGAAAGATGGAGAAATGCCATGAATGCTGAATTGTTGTGCGATATCCTAAGTTTGAGGAACCAGACATAAAGGGAATTAATTACTGGATCAAATTCACTCTAGAGGGAGGACTCTGGGAGGGTCACTGCGGTCGTGATTGCAGCTGCGTCAGAGGCCTGGAAGTATTACAGGAGCAGAAAAAAATGACAGAAATAAAGGCCCTGGCCCCACAATTTAATGCAATCTTATCATAATGTGAAAACAGACAGTGGGTCCCCTGAGTCACTGGACAATGCACGCTTCCTGAACACCAACTTTCCAGCACTTAGAGCGGCTCTCATGGGCCTAATTTTGTCTCCTCCTTCTCCCTGGTTTAAGAATGACACATGGTTCTAGGGGCATCTCTGTTCTCACTTCTTAATCTACTGAAAGGTAACATCCAAGACTTTCTGACTTTCTTCTGGGTCAAAAAGTTAACACTAGTGCTAACAGATTAATCCTTGAACACCAATCACAACAGCCAAACAAGAGTTACAGGAAAGCCTTGTGGCAGGAAGGCCAGCACAGGACGCTGGGCAACATGCCCCGGATGCCAACACTCTATTTCCCAAGCTCTACAACTGGAAAATTTCAGACTGTTTCTTGCACATTTTCAAAACATTGACTGTTTGACTCAATGTGTTTATACTCTTGGGAAGGAATAACAGGCAGAATTTGGAAGGTAAGCTCAACCACACCTCCATTTGTGGAGTTAAAGATAAAGTCAGTGAAATACAGGTGTTAACTAGGTAGTTTTCATGGCTGGTACTGGGGCTGCCCCCACCCCCAGGAGGCTGCACTGCGGTCCATGCGAGCGTTACCTATGATAGAGAGGAAGGCACTGGCTCTGGCCAGCTGAAAGCCGCTCCCCCGCAGTGCCTCCTCGCAGACGTACAGCCCGGTGTCCACTGAGGTCGGGTTGCTGACGGTGAGGCGCCTCCCAAAGCTGTGGAGCCTGCTGGTGACTGTCATCCCGTGTCCCTTCCAGGTCACACTCAGCTCCTCCACAGACCTGTGAGGAGGAAGGGCATTAGGGACCATGACTGTGGGTCATGTTGATGGCAATCGTAATAATTTCAGGTGTTCAGCACGGGCTTGCTGAAGCTAATTCTACCAGGAACCGTGGCAGGCTGAACAACAGACATTTAAAAATCAATCCAGGCAGAACTCCCTCCCCAATGGCGCATCCGCGATGCATTCTGCTCAAGGGCTATTGGGCAAGGATAGCTAATTGCAGCAGCAATGGACCGTAAGTGCTAATGATTCTATTTGCTCAGGAAAAGAATGTTGAAAATAAATACTGCTCGGGGACACGGCTACCTGGGAGGCGACGGTGGCGCTAACTGGGCCAAGAACACCCAGGACCGCAGAGGACAGGAGTAACTCTTCCCTTTGCGGCCAGACGCCCCAGCGCCTCTCCCCTCCTCGGTGGGAATCTCGGAGGAGGCGCCCCACCATGCCCCACGCCGTGTGGAAAAACACTGCTTTCCAGCGCAAATGCTGCAGTCAGCACAGACACGGCAGAACGGGGCTCGGGGACAAGTCTGCACACAGCGTCCCTGTCCTCCCGTGCACGCCACGCACATGCCCGGCTGGAGGAACAGGACGCCCTGGGCAGAGGAGCAAACCACACACAGGCGTACCTGGCACTGGCCACACACTCCAAGGTGGCCTCACTGGACCCGGCCACCACAGTCCTGTTGCGCGGGGGGACCATGATGACGGGGGCCGTGGCTTCAGGTGCGCTGACATCCCCTGTGGCAGAGAAAGCATAAGCCCATGGAACTCCTCTCCAAGGTACTGGGAAGCCTGAGGACTGGACGCGTGACAAACAGGAATCCTGTCAGGCCGTGTGGACAGGATTCCCAGTGTCTAGCGACCCGCCCCCTGGGAGCCCTCAGTGTCCTCCAGGCCTCTGCCCAGCTGCAGGAGCCCAGGGTGGAGTCCACAGCCCAGAAGCGGATGTCTGGACAGGAACCCGAGAGCACCCAGAGCCTCCTGCTGCACCTCCTGCTGCACTCAACTGCTGTGCATTTTCCAAAATGCTTGCTGACTTTGTTATTTTTTTTAATTGATCTAAGAGTTTGCTCACAGAGTTACCTAGTCTGTCTACCCATTACTTTCAAATCCACTCAACCTCACAAAGTTTTCACGCATCAGGCATTCTCTCAGGCACACATATCTCCTCTTGGGGCCCGAATGGGATCCTGGAAGAAACACGTTCTGTTAACAAGGTGCACAGTTGTTTCCAGGAAAGAAACTTAACTGTCCTGAATCCAGCTCTGTTGTGTGAGTTTCAAACTATAAATAATTTAGCTCATACTTCTGGTGACAAGGGAGGAGAAAAAACACCACGACACATTTTTTGCCACTTTTCTCGCAAGTACATGTAATGTTAAAATCAACTACCCACAGTGCACGATACTGCTGCTTATTTACAGAAAGTGAAGACTGAGCCAACATTTCTAGATCAGGAATTTCAACAGAGGGTGGAGACGGAAGAGATTGGAAGTAAAAATGAATTGATATCACAGCAAATGCAAAACGCTTGCTGTAGAACTTGATACTGCAGGGACCCGCCACCACCGGGAGCAGTGGGACAACTCTGGGAGGCCCCACCTAGCCGGCAGTGCAGTCAGGGCCATCGGGGGAGGACAGCACGGAGACGGGGGACTGACTGCTTACTGACACCAGGTTCCCTCTGCTCTGTGTTCTGGCTTTCACTGCCTAAGCTGTCTGTGATGGTTTTGAATTAAAGGTTCATGTGAATTAAAAAAAAATTAAAAAAGCTTGATGCAAGCAGAGCCAACAAATCAATTTTTTTAAGCCTATAAACATCGACACCATAATGTGAGGCCAGTTCTCAGGTACCCGGAGGTCTCTGGAAAGCAGGAGGCAGCCTTCACCTCCCCTGACCTCGCAGGGCTCCCTGGAGAGCTTCCCTGCAAAGTTCTCCGTTGGCAGAAGTGCAGGGCTCGTGGGTCTGGTTGTCAGGTTTCTGAGGAGATGCTGGAGAACAGACACACTCGTGAGGGGACGGAGGACAAAGGCGGAATGCCAATCAGATGAATGCCTGCCTGTCACCTGTGAAAGTTGCTGATGAGGAGAAACGACCTGAGAAGCTAATATTTGCAAATAGTTCCGCGAAGCGAAGGAGAGCAGTGGGGAGCATGCAGAGGGCACCGGCAAGGTGCTAACTGGGCACTACTCATCACTCCGCCCCCACGCAGCATGGGAAGCCGTGCTCAGCACTTGTCCCTGGCTGGTCAGCCTGGACTGGATCGTGCCTGAGACAGAGCAGCGGCGTCTGCAGCCGCTGGGGGGTGTGCGACCCCCCCAGCCCCATCGGGGGGAAAAGAGGAAGCAGCTCCGCATGGACACTCACGAGGAACAGTAACTTATTTATATCACACACTCAGCCCGCACAATCACGCGAGGTCCAGTCCCCTCACCCCGCGGGGTCAACAGGACAAGTTGAGTGACCAGCTCAGTATCGGCTGGTATATGTCCATCTGTTCTCGCCCCCCCAACCTCTGGACCCCGACTTCTCTGTTCTTTCTCATGACACATGAATCACACGTGACACCTGTTGGAGAAGTAGGTACACAAGATGCAGAAAATGGAACAGGCCCTAAAAAGAGTGTGTCTACCACACACCCAGTATACACACGTGCTGGTAAAGGGACCTTGACTCAAGGAAACGAGGACAGCAGGACCGAAGCAAGGTCTTGGGGCGGCAGGGCCTGTGCGTTTTCTATGGAAACTGCGGGAACAACACTTCAGTAAAAGTTCACGGAGGTGCCCAGCATCCAGCTCTCCCAGGGGCGAGGACAGTGTTCATCAGATCACACAGTGCTGGCACACTTGCTTCTTAAAGACAAACCTGTTTTTAAATTTCATGCAAATTCACACGTGCACACGGACTAAAAAGAACAGCACAGGGAGGCTGGAAATGGAACAGAACCCCCCAGACCATGGCCCCAAAATGGGAACATTTAACTTGGCAACTGGCAGCTTTGCTTCAGTCAGGCAGGGAGCCCAGTCTTGTTCCAAAGGGACCCTGGTCCCTGGAGTGCAGAGGTCTTTGGTCCGAAGTCATTTATTCTCAGTGGAGAAGAACCCTCACCCGCCTGCCTCTCCACCTGTCTGTCTGCTCACTTCAGCCGCTGAGTGTTCTGCACGCCGTGCGAGGCAGGAAGCAGCCCGTTCCAGACACAAAGCACTACCTAACCCCTGGGTTGAGGTCTGTGTCAGAACTGCTCCTCTGTGGCCAGGCCCGCGCCAGGTGTCCCCGCGCCGAGAGCGTCCCCCAGGGGCACGACCCCTCCGTACAGACCCTGGGCTCATCCCTCACTCGCCCTCCATGTCACGTGGGCCTGAGTCTCTTCTTCCTTCACCTCATTTTTGGGGGTTTTACTCCTTTTTTAAGGGAGGGGAGGTAACGGGTGTGCATTTTTAACCTGCCAAGCTGACTTTCTACCAATTTTTTCCCCCACATTCAATTTTTAGAAGAAAAAATGCAAAGAAGACTATCTGGGCATTTTTAAAAGAATAAAGCAATCACTTCATCTCTGCTGTTCCCACAGAATCTAAGATATAACAGGCATCCAACAAATGCTCAATGGTTGGTTAATTTTTTCATAAATATTCCATAATAACGAGCCACTACTACCACCACCAGGAAAATTGCCCTCTCCTTCAGTGTTCTGCATTAAAAAACCATCACAAAACTACCATATGCCAGCGTGTTAAGGATTATTTCCGAGAAGACTGAGAACAAATGGGAAAGAAGGAAGGAAACCACTTCACCGAGCTCCCATCCAGCCACTTAGCATTTTGCCGCATGTTTACACTTACACGTGTTGCCCCATGATGGCAACAAGCTCATAAGGGAGCTGTTAGTATTCCCTTTTCATAGATGAGAAAATTGAGGCCCAGCGTCATGTCGCCTCCTCGTAAAACTTTGTCTGTGCTTGGTTAGCCCCTAATTAAATTAGCTAGAGTGCTCCTTCCCCCAGCACTTCCCTCTCTGAGACTTCCCTGTCACTCCTTCAGTGGCATGCTTCCCAGGCTGGTTCAGGTGGTTGGGAGGGTTTCTGCTGAGGTCAGCCCATTGGGCACCAGGCAGCTTCAAAGGCACAGAGGCAAACGCTCTGTGGTCCGGGGGACAAAGATCTCAGCTGAGGGAAATGGCACACAGTCCGCGTCAGTTTCCCCCACGTGAACCTCTTAATCACCAAAGAGGCTGAGCAGGGAGAAGTTGCCTGGTTTACATTTAATTACAAAGTACATTTAAAGAATATCAAATCTCTCAAACAGAAAAAAAAATTCGAAGTCCACTTGAAATGCTAAGCAGTGGAATTACTGCAGATAAAGTAGGATGACTGGAAAACAGCCCGCTTCCCTGTGATCAAGACAGTG